CATTAGGAGTCATAATGAATGTTCAGAGGTCAAAACAATCGATGAAGAGAAAATCGATTACGCAAATAACCGCTAATTTTTAATATGCAACAAATAGTTCATGAAAGTATGAAATACGTTTGAACTTTTTATTATCAGGCCTTCAACAAACACCATACTGGCTTAGAAGCGTCGATAAAGTACGATTTGTGACCCACTTCACTGGCATTTTTTTTTAGAAAGACTAGGCTGGAATTATCTGTGTAAAATACTGGTATATGCGTTGAAGGAGCAAGCTGAAGAGATGGATGCGCCCTTCATACTTTATAGGGAAGTCATGTAAGTATAAAAGTGAAAAGAATAGCTATATTATGTCAGAGATCGTCTTACATATGATTTCATTATCTCCTAATCCTCATCTTTTTGTAGTGAAAATTTATCACTAGAATATTCAGCTAAAACAAAAAGTTTGGTTTATTTTCATGTTTAGATGATTTATCATTTGTCATTTGTCTTGACAAGAAATCTGGTTGGTTTTTGACTCATTTCCGTCGAACAAATGCTTTAAATAGTGCCATCACCAGGCATCTTCTCGACACGGATCATGAGGTGGACGTTGAAAAGTCGTTCAAAATTATCAATAAGCAAAATAGCTCAATTCTCCTTAAGTTTGCTGAAGCCATTTCCATCAAGCGCCTGAAACCTGATTTATGCGTCCAGAAAGAAGCGGTTATCAGTCTTTCATTGCCCTGGTAACTGGATAATTTCACCTCTCTTTCCTCCGAATGTGAAATGCTAAACGTTTCCATTGTGTTTGATTATTATTGTTCGGAATAGTGGTTAACATTGCATATTTATATATGTATATATTTTAAGTGTATGAGTATATTGATCGATTGATTTTTGTTTAAACTGAACTCAGTGCAAGTATGTTAAAATTGTTGTTGTAGATATATTTAATAATGTCTTTGCCATGTAAGCAGCTGAAGAGAAGGCAACGAAATTAAAGATGGCACCATTTTTTTCTGCTAAAACTGTAGTTCTTGCTTTGCTCAAATTCATTAAGGGGAATAAATGTATGGAACATTATTCACATACACGTTTTTAAAAGTTGGGAACTAAGTTGAAACATTTGCCCCATATTTATGGCTTTTAAAGAGCATTTATTTTATGTCACTTGATGTTAGAATACAATCAGCAACTTACGGCATATTCATACTCGTCAGAATAAAAAATAAAAGCTATTTCCAGCCAGTTGAGGTCTGTCGGGACATTTTTACTTATTTATTTTTATTTCGATTACAGCTTGATTCCACACCGTAGTTTTGGTACAAGTATGGAATTTTCAGCATGGTTATAGGTAGCCCAGATTTTGCAGGCCGACCATAGATATCAGGTGTGCGTCGGCAGGGGATCGAACCTCGGACCATATGCATGGTCGACGGGAGTCCTAACCACTGTGCCACCGACGCACAGTCTATCGGAACATACCTTTATAAACACGTAAATTGCGGTTAGATGGTTGGACACTATAGCCAGCAAAGCAAGTTTAGTACCTACTGGCATTTGTCGGTAAGGTATACATAAAATCTCCAGAAAATCAATATCCTCTTCGAGATTCTAACCCACATCACGTAGGGCTGCAGCTGGAGGTGTCACTACTCAGTTTTCCGAACTCACAGATGAGCTCTTATAGGACTATAATAGGTACATAGACAGGTCAGCGGGAAGTAATCAGTATCATACGTCTATTCTTTGATTTCGGTGCTGACAGAAGTCTGTCAGCCAAGTTGGCAACATAGCCACGAATCTAGGTGCCTCACTATTACGTACTGATTACTCTTACTTTTGACTTCATCACTTCATTGCGGTACTCATTCCTTACGTTACACAACGTTTTTTTTAAGGTCATTCTTCTTGAGCTGACATCAGATAAAGGGCTGGCGGAAAACCAGGGAGCACTGAACAGCTGTCTCATTCTAGTTTGGGACTCTTCACCTACTGACTGGAGTTTGAATCCAAGGCTTCATGGTTACAATGCAAGCTCACAGACCAATAAATCACTGGTACCTAATCCGACATTCCATGTATTTCAACTTCTACCATTTCATGAAACTTTGCGCAGTCTTCAGCTAGTGTCATAGGCGTGTAACTGTTCTTTTACCTGACTTAATTTCAAATATCTGGACTACGCTTCACTTTTCTAGCACTTAACTTTCATCTTAAAGTTTTTCTTCTATTTTAAATATGTCTACAAACCTTGACATTTGAATAAATTGAACAATACAAAATGTGGAACAACATTTATAAATTACAACATTTATTTGTCACTAGCCAAAATCAGTCAGGGAATCATCGGTGACCGGATAGTACAGGAAAGCTGTCTTTTCCTAGTCTCGAATCCATCATCAGGGAGTACTCATGAGCATACCAAGGATAGAACCCTTCGACATCCTGGTTAAGAGGTCAGCTCACTGAATTTTTAGCCTCTGGGAGCAGAGTTCACTGAAACATGATTTCTAGCTTTGTCATTTAGTGATACAGTGCCGTCCCGGTGTAACAACAGAAGACAAGGGCTGGCAACAGATCGTTTTATTACGAAAACCAACACGTATTTATATATATTTTATGTGCATTAATAAGGCTTATGCAAGCAGAAAAAGGCAGTCTTCTGATTGGTTGTTTCTCGGAAATCAAGCAGACAAACACAGTCTTATGATTGGTTGTTTTCGATATTTCTCGGAAAGTAGAGTCATCTATCTGCGAATCATATTTGTCCACATTTAAGTTTGCTGTGATTGGTTGTTGAAACAGCCTTGTTCATATTTTCTCACGGCCCATATTAGTGACCTAGACATTAACGTAGATTAGTGTCAACCAATCGGCTAGCAGCCTGCTCTCACCACACCGGGTATGCAGTGATGAAGCATCCTTAACTAGAACGCAACAACTGTCCAGCAACCCAGTAATCACTCGCTGACCGATGTCAATTCTCAATAAAGTCGATACTGAGAATAATCGAAATCCTTACAAAACTCATAATCAAATAATCTTAAGAGTTTAATTTTTACTGGTTTATTATATTCAATCATTGTTTTTTTCATTGGCTTAAGAAAATATTGCTTGAGCCTGGTGATTTCGAATTTCCCTCCAGAACAGCAATTCAAATATACTGGACATTTTAATGAACAATATTTAAATTCAAACAAAAATTATAACCTTCAAAATAATACCTAGTTCGTCAATCATAAATATGTGTTAAATAGTGTATAATCAAGTCACTATGAATTGTGAAATGTGACTCATGAAGTTTACAACATACTACAATCTTTTTTATAGTATTTTAACAGCAGAACACACGAATATTTGACGATATGATGTACAGATATAGTCTAAAAAGACGTCTACAATATTTTAGAATCTCAACTTTCACATATCTTGGGTACTGTGCCCCCTTTGTCTCTATTTCATGGTTTTCATGTTGCTTCACATGCATCGTTCGTTTCTTCTTTCCGCCATTAAACTGATCTGTCCGCTAATCGATATTCTTGCAGGTTACATATAAATATTTATACGTGATTCTATATATTACTCACAAATCTTACCAGTAGTGTAAGCTACAATGTGATATTTTTATTTCACCTTCTTGGTTGTAATCAAGTAATTTTAAGTCTTTAATATGTTCTCTGCTAACAAAATGGAAAATAGTCTCAACACTGAAGCCACATTATTTAGTCGATTAGAAGTAATCCGTTAGTATCAACAACTGACAAGCTGCACAAAAGTATCTAGTTCCAGAGCTATTTATTGACTGTGGACCACATATATGGTCTGGCTTTCAGTTCCCTACTAACTCACTCTTAAATGTCGTCTACTTTGCTAGCCTGCAGTACCCTCAGAAAAGTGGAATGGTTTGGCTTGGTACTAGCGACCCCTGCTCGTAAAAACAACAGGAAACAATAACTAAGGTTTCAGAGAGAGGGCCAGTCACTAGTGAGCATCACATTGATATTCGAGTATTGGTTTGCAAGAATTTCATTGATTTCAGGATTTTATCGTGAGCTGACATCGGTTAGACGACCATTGGAAAACCTGGGAGTACTGGACAGCTGTATCCTCCTGGCTTTGGACTATTCACCAATGCGCGTCCGTCGTGTGCAGGGATTGATGAAGTGTTTAGAAATAGGACGAAACAGCTATCTAATACTCCCTGGTTTTCAGTGATCTTCTAATGTTGTTGGTTCGTGACGAAATCTGCACTTGCATTAAATAAAATTCTTACAAAAACCAAGAATTTGGATATTAAACTGATAAATAATTGAACCTTTGAATGTGAGGAAGAAAGTTTTAATGAATCAATTTAAATTTTTATATACTATGGTAATCATGTAATAAAAAGACAGAAAATGATAGAAATATGATACTGAACAAAAATCTATGATACCTTAGAATAACATCTGTAAAGTTTCTAGTTATGCATCACCGATTTTCGGCTTTTCCGGGGCATTGGGTACAAACTTTATCAGTATCTGTCATAACAGTTTATATGCAGTTTATACGCCTTCTAAGAAACAATTCAGAATGACTTGCTGATAATCTTATGTACGAAAATTATTGATTCTCATCCTCGATTTCTAATTCGCGTATATTTTATCTCAGTCAATAAAAACGTTTAATAGACAAGTTCTACAAAAGGCTTTTATGATCATAATGATAATTCTAACGTGATAACGAACTTTGAATAGGCTTTTAGTTTTAACAATTTAAACCCTTCATATTAGGTTGCTCAGACGTAGAGGTAATAACGAGAGAAATGGCTATCAGAAATGCAGTAGTATCTTACAGTATGATATCCTTTCTGGGAAAAAGCCACTCACGTTTAACATACATAATAAATGTTAAATTCTATTATTGTTAGTGTATTCATGTAGGGCGCGTGATTTGTCATAAAAGTCTTAGAGATTTAATCATCCAATGCTTTATTTTCCGTTTTTTTTCAATTTCATTTTTCTCCTGTTTAGGGCCACTGGTGCTACTTTAGGTGTGTTGGCTATATTACTTGTTTTATTCCTTCTTATATTATGTCTTCCATGGCAAAAGTGTGATCGATATTGTGCCTGTTGTCGATGTTGGCTTCTTGGATCTGAAGAAAATTATAATGGTCAATCAGATGATGCATTTCGTGCAGGAAGAATGCCTGGAGAATTTCGTAAGTTTCTGCTTCATTTTTATTTTGATCGTCTCATTATCTGATTATCTATTTTATTCTATTAACATTATGTAAATCATGAAAAAAAGACAGAGGATGATGGTAAATACTAGATTATACATTCAATGACACGTACTCAATAAGAGAAGAATTCGATATTAAACTCTAAAGATCACCGAGCACTTCGATCCAATTAATCGACGGGAAAATCTGAAATTCAATTAAATTAATACGACCCGTTGCACAAGAGGTGGATGTCGTGGCCCAAGTGGTCTATTGGATAACGCTTTGGCGTTGGAAACTATGGGCACTGGGTTCGAGAGTCGTTGGGAACATAATCACTGGCTTGCAGGTACATCCAGTTGACCAGTCCCGAATAGGACGAAATGAGCATCATGGATTCCACTGCTAGTCACCATCCACCAACTAAATACTTGTCAAATGCCCAGACATCGTCGAAGCATCTGCACAAGAAGCCGACACGTCAACCTGAGACCGAGCGCTTCGGTCAAATCAATCGACAGGAAATTCTGAAATTCAATTAAATCTAAAGATCACCGTTTATATTATTCGTCTTTCTGGTTGAGTGTGGAATACCGAGCATCAGTGGTGTATTTCCATTCCACTCCGTTCTCTGAAGTTTTTTCCACCTGGCGCCACGGATGTCCATAGGCTTTCATTTCCAATTTACACAATCTTCTACATGTCACCTTGTAACGCCAAATCTATTAAATAAAGTATAATTATATTCCAATAGTTTACACACAATGATAAGTTTGGTTATTGGTAATTTTGCTCGAAATATTACCAATAACCAAACTTTTCATTGTGTGTAAACTATTGAAATATAATTATACCTTATTTAATCTAATCCACAATGCTCAAACTTTTTACTGATATTAAGCCAAATCTATTGTTTTTTTATTCCTGTTTCACGAGAGCGTCTGCCATATGTTGTCACTAAACGATTTCCTCAGCGTGTTTCCAATCCATCTTCATTTCCATCTGAATGTTTGTTGAATAACACGTTCTTAGTTTAACTCGTCGCTATAGAGATTTCCTTATTGGCATTCCTTTCAGCACCGTTACCTGATCTTCATCATAGAGTGAAAACAAATGTTAATGGATGTTTGCAGCACGATTTAGGCAATGCCAAGTCTCTGAGTTATACAGAATCATTCACTTGATATTAGTGTCAAAAATTTGGATCCCAGTCCTTATTGCAAGCAGTGTACACCTCAGTATTAATTTCAGAGTCTTTCTATCATCATCCAATATTGACTTTTTCTGCTTGCAGTTGAAACGATGTTTCCCAATTTGTGTTAGTGAAAGAGACAACTTCTTGTACATCTATCCCTGATAGTGATTGTTGCCAATTTTTGTTAGTAAGGTTTCATCATCACCTCTACCTTCTATGTGGTCACTTGAAGTCGTCTGTTCGCTGCTTATTGTGCCAAACTTGTTTGTGTAGATTTTTGAATTTGTCAGACATTAGACACATATAATCCAAGAATTTCAGAAAGTTAACTTAATTGTAGATTTAAAATAAACAGGGAAGTAATCAACTACAAAAGTGAAATGTATCTGCTTGAAAGCAAAAAATTCTGCAGTGATAGGCAAGATAAATAAAAGATACAGCATTCTACAATCTTTCTAGTTTTTGCGAGAAATACCAAAGAGACATATCCACTTGTAATACTTTGAAGTGATCAAAAAGACTGATGGCTTAGGTGAATGATTTTCGTATATATCCACAAAGGAGCTATTCAGCTCAAAAACTCGACAGCACCAAAAAAAACATGCACACTGATGATATTCTGTAAATAGTGACTTGAATTATATTTAGCACTTGCAAACTGCACAGTTTAAGGTGAGAATTCACCACTATCCCGTTTGAAGACCAGAAACATTTGATTCACACCATAGATAAGATTGAAGAGTGTGAAATATCGTCATATCGTGAATTTAAAATCAATCTAAACGAAGAATATTCTTCCCAGTATGTGGCCTTTAGGTACTTGTGTGGTGAGAGCAGGCTGCTAGCCGATTGGTTGACACTAATCTACGTTAATGTCTAGGTCACTAATATGGGCCGTGAGAAAATATGAACAAGGCTGTTTCAACAACCAATCACAGCAAACTTAAATGTGGACAAATATGATTCGCAGATAGATGGCTCTACTTTCCGAGAAATATCGAAAATGACCAATCATAAGACTGTGTTTGTCTGCTTAACTTCCGAGAAACAACCAATCAGAAGACTGCCTTTTTCTGCTTGCATAAGCCTTATTAATGCACATAAAATATATATAAATACGTGTTGATTTTCGTAATAAAACGATCTGTTGCCAGCCCTTGTCTTCTGTTGTTACACTTGCAATCATATAATATAATATTTATGCGGCAGATACATTTTTACATATAACAACACAATAGTTATAGGGCTAACAAAATAAACAGTATTTGTGTGACACACAGTTACAATGTAGGGAAGGCAAATGTGTGTATCAGATCAAGATTATCAGCCTCATTCAACAGATATATGACAATGCCATGTGTCAAGTGATCTACAACAGGAAACTCAACGATGCCTTTGAAGTGAAGAGAAGAGTAGGACAAGGCTGCATACTATTACCAGTGATAATTCCTATCTTGATGGAGTGCATTATGTGGCCCACAACAAGTGGAGAGTGAAAAAAAACCAAGGAATAATGTGGCCCGATTAGAATATTGCAGAAAATCTGGACTTCGTGGGCGATTTATTTTTAATGTCACGTATACTTGAAGACTTACAGACGAGAACAAACATGTTAGCTGAAGAGGTTGGCAAAGAATACAGGAATTTGTGTGAACATGGAAAAGACGAAGGTGACGAAAGTAATTAAACATCAGCAAACATCAATCACTATGGATGGAATAAATTTCAAAGAGGTCACTTCATTCACTTATCTATGCAGCACCGTTTTACCTATAGGTAGAACGAGTAAGGATTTCGGAACGAGAATTGGAAACGCAGGGCTGACCTTTATCACTGTGCAATCAGTCTGGAAGTTTTCTGTACTCTTCGTCTAAAAATTAAATTCTGATTTTCAATTCTTCTACATGAGTCACGAAAGGCATTTCAAACAGGCTTCATACTCTTAACCAACAGTTGCCTTCGACGAATACTGAAGATCAGGTGAACTGTCAGAAGGGGTTAAGCAACAGAGAACTCTGGTAACGAACCGATCAAGAACCTATTGCTTAACAAATATGCAGAGGGAAATAGAGGTGGATAGGACACAATCCGAGAAAACTGTCAAGTTTAACCGAAAACCTAGCCCTACCGGAATGGGAAACGGCGAGTTGGGCTTTGGTCTAAGGGTGACATGGAATAGGTCATGTTAGGAGGAAATGAGACCTTATAGGCAATCATGAGGCCAGCTAAAGACGACCGTAGGGAACAGGTCCATTCGGATATGTGCTGCTGAAGACCTATATTTCACCTGGAACCCAAAAGAATAATGACAGTAATGAAACCAAATTAATAGAAGGCGTCAGGTGGGTGATTAGTAAAAAACAGTTTGCATTAAAGTGAATATAGTAAGACTGCGATGAATAATTTGTCGTGAGATAATCAAAACGTGAAAGCAATGGGGTGGAGCCGTATATTAAGAAAAGAGATAATATCACTTTTGCTAAATCTGAATATTAATAAATGGAAAATTGTTTAGCGTTGGAAGGATGCTAGAATGAAGGCTATAAGTTATAGAACACTGTGACTAAGAATGCTGGGTAGAAGAGGAAACATTTGAGGGAAGACAATGAGGGAAAGTGATCCATGGTGCAAAACACTTTTAATACAAGTTTGGACATATTAGAAGCGGCGCCTGAGCAAGTTCTTTGGGAACACAAAGTTCTGATTTAGTCAATCTTATCACAGTGACCTCAGCTGCATGTAGAAAACGTAGATGAAATGTACGTTGGGATTTGATGCTTAACGCTGAAGGCTATGTTAGAGCCAACGCCATGTTTTGTACCTACCAAGTTTGATAGAATTGAACTTTTTATGTATTCTATTCCACCTTCTTTGAACCAAACTGGCAAATGTTCTCGGATCCGCATACAAACGTGCTTGAATGTATTTCCTATACAACCTGAACATCAGGAACATTTGAAATGGTATATGCATGAGAAAGAGCTAAGTTTAAATAAGATATCTTCCAGTTTCTAGATGAAAACTGAACGGCTACTGGAGGATAGAAACAGATGTCCAGAGGAGGAAGTCTTCTCTATCATTTTGGTTAGATGTTGGGATGGAATCTGTGTAGGAGTGTCTGCCTTGAATTCTAAATTCAGAAATTACGGCTTTTTCTTCACCATTTTCAGTTCATGGTTTCGACTGTTATAACCCATGTTGGTTATTATAAACTTCTTAAGATATCCACTGTCATATAGAATATCCCGGTTGACGTGGAGTCCTTTCCCTACCTGGCTCTAGACGCTAACCAACTAATCAAATTATGTTTATATTTCATGCGTACGAAGCTGAGGAAATGTGTATTGAGCTTTAATCTCTAGCATCTTTTAATGGATTTATTCTCTCTCCTTTTTGATGAGACTCATGGAAAGCGCAAAGAGATCTTGTTTTCCTGAGTGTAGTTAAGATGGACATCTGGGTGAGCACTATTGCAGTGGCTGGAAAATTGTAAGGACCTGAAGAGAATTTCTTGAAAAGACTAGTCTGATGTTTAATTTACACCATAAATGGTTTGTCCGATATAATTGTTATTCAAAAAACGAACAATAGTGTGTCCTTCCTACTAGGTTGTCAGAATTCGAGTGGCTTGAATTTATTTGGCTCTGTGAAGATGACTGTACCCAGCCTGACAGCTTATGAGCTCGGCTCCGAGTAGAAGAGATGACGGTTGAACTTTAAGATCATTTTAGTCCGGCTTGCAGCCACCACCGACTGACATAAGCGGTTTATAACTGTTCATGTACACCTAAGTGAATCTATTGTTTTAAATTTTTAAATATTCGTCAGTAAATTTTCATTCAGTTATGAATGAAATAATGTGTAATAAATCATCTCTTTTGTTTCATATTCTTTTCCTTTTTTTTAGCTATGCCAATGTTTGACTTTATCCCCCCGTGTGCACTACCTAAATTGCCTAATTATGAAGAATGCTTGAATACTGGTCCACCAGCTAATGATGAAGCTCCGCCTCCTCCAACTCCTCTACCATTCCAAACTGTTTCTGCCAGCGATCAAAATTTCTCACGATTAGTTGTCCATAGTCGTCCAGACCTACGTCATAATAGTGATGATACTCAAACACTGCCTAGTCCTGCATCAACACCCCCACCTACATATTCTTCAACATGGTTGAATAGACCATCAACAACAACAAGTCGAACAACAGAACAAGATCAGCCAAGATCACGTGAAAATTCAGCCCCTATCATATCACGACAATCATCAGCAAATCTTTAAAAAAAAGTAAGCAACAACACACTAAAACCCAAAGATTTTCTATGCTTCGTATCAGAACATTCAACAATATGAAATCCAAAAGAAAAAAAAGTATGATAGCAATAGTAAAATTACTGTTTTGCATTGAGTTCTACTAGTCAGCTAGTCAGAAGGATGTTTAAGCTTTCTTTTTGCTGTTTTTCTTCTGAACACAAACTGGAAACATTGTTCATAAAGCATCTGTCCTTGTAATCCTTTTTCTAATATTTCAAAAGCTAAACTAGTGAAGCCTGTGATAAACAAACGCACGGATAGATACATATATATATATATATTACTTCACAATTGACTGTTTCTTATAATGATGACATATGAAAGCCAGTGTATATTAAATGCAATGAAGCCTATTCTCCGTTTCTACTCTGTGTGTAAACATTTAAGATTATGTCAACTATCCCTCACTGTCAGTTTTTCTATTTCGATGGAAATCTTACTATTTCTAATTTCTTTTATCCTGCTTTTTAATATGCGATGGTATTTTTTACTACAAGAAACCAAATGTTTATATGAAATAAATTATTTTTTAACTTTTTACAATGTTTTACAGTATTTACACTAGAGAAAAAGGCTCAGATATCTTAAAAATGTTGTTTCTCACTTATCCCTTTCTTTCACACTTATCTTTAATTGATTTTTTCTTATTTCCCTCCTCAAATGATGGTTAATCGAAGAGAGAAAAGCAAAAAAGAAAAAGAAAGGGAACTTGTCTTTACCTTGTATCTTTTCACTGACAAGTTTCACAATCAAAACTGGTGTCATACTGTTTGCGTTTTGACGACTTTTTTATTCGAAGAAAACAAGTGCTTCCTCTTTGAAAAAGCAAAGCTGAATAAATAACAAGTTATGCTTTTCAATGGTAAATCTGTATGTGTGTGTGTGTGTGTATCATGCATGCAATACTATTAGTCTTATCATTATAGAGTTTTGGTGATTGAATGGGTATTAAAATTTTTCAACAAAACTTTCCTGATCAATTATGAATGTATGTATGTATGCATAGATTTTTACGTATAAATTTTTTTATATATTTTATTGAATATGAAATCTAATAGAAATGTGAAAAAGACTTACATTACTGGTTTATATTCAGGAGACACTGCAACAACTTGACGGTGAACAATTTAAGTTGTGGTACTTTATGCAAGTGACAGAAACTAATTGTTATACTGCCAAAATGAAGGAAGTTACAGGATTTCATCATGAGCTGACATTAGTTAGAGAACCATTGGAAAACCTGATAGTACTGGACAGCTGTTTCGTCCAAGTTTGGGACTCTTGATCAGTACGCAACCACCTCCAGGGTTTAAACCAGGAACTTCTGGTTACAAGGCGAGCTCGCAGACCATTAAGCCACTGGGACCCGATCCAAAGGCCTATGAATTTTGACATGTCGTGAATTGGCAGGAGTAAGAGTTCATGAGGTAACGTGGAGAGGAAATGAAAGCATGTAGGCAGACCTGGAGCGGAGTGAAACAGTTGGCGGGAAAGAGAAGGCAATGGAGACGCGCAGATGAAGCCCTATGTTCCTCTAGCAATTAAAGGATATAGTAATAATAATTCATTAGCCATCGGATTGGGTCCCAGTGACTTAATAGTCTACAGGTTTGCCTTGTAACCAGAAGTTCCTGGTTTAAACCCTGGAGGTGGTTGCGTACTGATCATGAGTCCCAAACTAGGACGAAACAGCTGTCCAGTACTATCAGGTTTTCCAATGGTTCTCTAACTAATGTCAGCCCATGATGAAATCTTGTAACCAATCAGATCCCTACAAACCAACACTTGACTAACGAAGAAAGGGTTGGATGAATGTATCGCCCTATCTCTTAATTTTAAATCACTATGTAATGTCAACACCTTAATGATCGCGTCTTGTGGTTTACAGAGCACGAATCTTCTACTAAACTGGGACTTGATTTTCAGAGATGCTCAAATTCTGTTAATCTTTCACGTAATAGTAATTATGATAAGAAAGCGTTATTTCAAACAGGATGTGAAGACACATTACAAAAATCTTCATCCTACTTAGTTTCAAAATATTTTCTCTCCATACAGGATTTAAGTGTGAAGTATATCATGTGACGCAGTGTTGCTTCAGACGAAGAGAGAAACAATTTCGCCTTCGAAAAATTACACAAGATCCAGTTAGAAGCTCCCTAAATAAAAGCGGCAGTTCAAATAGGGATCATCTGACATAACTGCTTGACTGAAACCATAAGAAATGCAGAGGAGTTCCAGCATTTTGACGGATGGAACTTCTAATAAAGCGGTGATTTAAGTAGTCCGCCAATAATAACTGTATTCCACAAACTGCGTTAATATATATTGTAGAACTTTAAAAATGGCCTACCTTAAGTATTTGTTAAAAGTATGAAAAATTCTAATTTCATATAACTTACAATACATAAATCAACAAAATGATCTCGTTTTGGAATTTCTTTTCAAAGCTGCATGGTTATTTGTGGAGGCTATTGTAATGTACTGCTGCTGAGTGGTTAATCGTAGTTTTCCCCGTCGCCAGTTATGTAAGGTACTCGTCGAGTAGTTAATAATCCTGGCGCGGAAAGAGGGAAATCAGAAGACCATCAGGTTTAGGATGATACTTGTATTTTCCAGACAAGGAAAATAAATGTCACACAAGAGTGTGAGTGAAATGGTACGTAGTGTACGAAACGTGGGAACAAGTGTGAACAAGTATACAGTACAAAAGTATATATGAAAATGACTAATACACATGAACCAATAAATAGACAGTCTTAACATGATTGGTTGTAATGTCATATGACAACAAGGTCATACATGTTTATTTAGTTAGTGGACAGACTAAAGCATATTGTCAGTTGTAATAGAATATCGATCCATATACACATAGCAAAATATAACAGACTGTCAAAAACAAAACACACATCATGTGGATACGTATCAGTTATATATCCAATGTAGATTTACAGTAGAAGTCAAAGGTTATCGTCACTTATTAACAAAGTAGTTCAAAGTGTATGAGTAATAACTATGTTAGAAACATTGGGAATAGTCTTATTTAATCAAGAGGGTTGATAACTAATTAGTAGAGCATGAATAATCGTTTGGAAATATTTGATAAAGAACATTAGAACGAATAATTGAAAATGAGTTGCAAAATCATATAACGAACTACACAGAGCTTATCCTATAGTTGTTAAAGTAGATGAAAAAGGAAGAAGAATTTAGTACTAAATCTGTGGCAGTAAAACAGTTCTTGTAAAACGTTTTTGGACGCAAAGTTCAAGTTTCTACTTATGGATTGCTATGGATTCGCCCGTATAAAGAAGATGTAGGCGAAATCCTTTCAGACGACTTGGTTGTTCTTTATATATGACTCTGAAAGGAGTGTCTGCTGATGATGTGTGGCCAGAAGTATTACTATGCTCCAGAGTTCACCTGTTGACTGATTTGACTTCGCCTTTTAAAAGCATACCGGGAAATGTTTGTGGGCACGTCCAGACAATCACTTGCTGCTACGGCCTATGTACTTAATTTCACAAAAGCAGGTGGACTGGTGAATGACAGAGTATTTACTCCTTTTCTGTTATCTTCAAGGAATTTAACAGTCGACAATATATTATTTGAAGCAATACTGTTCTATCCAAGGCGCTCTGTAATAGCCTGATATGTCTATTCTTCATTTCCGTTGAAGAATCCATTCTGGTAGGTTGAGACCAATTTAAAAATAGGCATGAGTACAGAGTACAAATCAAAAATTTAGTTAGATAATTAAAACAGTATAAAACAGAGCACATAAGATACATTTTGATGGATGAAACACTACGTATCACATCGTCAGATATAGCGTGTTCGTTATTAAACGCCTCTACTGAACCACTATCTACATTACAACCAGTTTTTTTTGACATAATTATTAAAAACTTCTAGCCAGTGACGTAATCATTAAATATATTCTTCAGCAGAATTTTATCTGTCCATCTAGCAATTTATTTTAACCGAAAGCCATTCAGATCCATGACACACACGATACACAATATCCCTAGTTAATCTGTGACACAAGCTTAAGTTGTAAAATACTAACCACACACAAGGTCAGGAGTTCCACGGCTGAACAACTGACTCCCAAACTCTGCTTGCTAGCTGGTTCTAAGCCCTATACATAGGAGGCATTGTGCGTGAGGCTTGTGACCCCATTCAGTAAAAAAAAAATGCATTGCTATTGAAACTTCAAAGCTCAAGCTGGGAACGCATAGGATTAAAATTAATAAATAACAATCTGTGACATTAAAATTATTTTTTTCACAACCTAATTGTCATAAATCCATTACCATGAGTCTTGGAAGTAATTTGTCATTACCGAAGATTGTTGAACTACGATGGAACAACTACCACTGACCCTTGCTGACATTATGAAATTTCGACCCTCACAATAAATTTAACCATTGTAGTTCACCTACTCGTGAGTAGTATAAATATTTCAACGGATTTAAAATGCCTATTAAAATACAAATGGTATAAATATCCATGAAAATGGGATTTATTTTAGCCTTGTAGATCGACTGCGTTTGCTGGTAGTTGCAGCTTAATACCTACACTGCAAAGTGTTCTCCTGGTTTCTAAAGTGATTGTTATACTTTTGTGATACCCATTTAATAAGCGATAATATTTGTTTTCATGAGTTAGTTCATAGGGATTCAATTTGTTTCAAATTTGATCACGGACTGGTGTCATTAAGGGAACCTTCGGAAGGAACAGAATGCTTGACACCTGTTTCTCTAGCTTTTGTCCCCACACCTGCCCTGGTAAACCACCCTGAACACCGCTTCTTCCCAGGAATCTAATCAACTTCGTCCTCCAGCCAATCACTAGCTTGAACGCCGTCGGATGCATACTCATGAGGTGTCCCATACTGGAACAGAACAGCTGTTCAGTACTTCCTGGTCGCCGGTAGTACTATAAATGATAATGATCCGTGATGA